CCTAACATATTTGCACACTCATTTCTACACAGTCATGCATTCATTTGTTAATAAGTTCTGACTTGGGTGGATGTGGTGGCTCACGCCTATAATCCCAACACCAGAGGGCCAAGGTGGAAGAATCGCTTGAGGTCAAGAATTGGAGACCAGCCTTGGCAACATAGTGAGACCCCATCTCTACCAAAAAATGTAAAAATTAGCTGGGTATGGTGGCACACACCTGTAGTCCCAGCTACTTGGGAGGCTTTGGCAGGAGGATCACGTGAACCTGGAAATTTGGGGCTGCAGTGAGCTAAGATTATGCCACTGCACTCCATCCTGGGTGACAGAACAGCAGACACCCTGTCTCTAAAAAAAAAAAAAAAGAATGTTCTCAGAAATATTTCTCAGATTGGACCCTTCCTTCCTGTCCGACCTCTTCCTTACTTAGGCTATTACAACAACCTTGTCATCTTGCCATCACAGATTGTTACTTTTCATTCTCTGCCATTCTAGACAGTCCTTTACATTGACCAAATTTAATTATATCTGTCTCTGGTGAATTGTTTTTACCAACCTTCTTTCATATAAAGCTCATTAAAATCCAGCTCTTGCTTACCTATCTAAGCTCAATACCTCCTGCTCCCATCCTAACCTTGCTCCTTACCCTATATTCTAAACACACTGGCTCTTTAATGTTATGTTAATAGATCATTTTCTTTTATGTGCCATATGAAGGTTGTCTTCCTTGGTCTTGGTCAAGTACTCATTTTTAAGACTCAGCCTAAATGTCGTGTGTCAAGCATTCCCTAACCATCTCCCTATAGCACAAGCAAAGTTAGTTGTTTCTTTTTGTGGGTTTTAATAATCCTTTGTTCTTATTTCATATATAGCATTTCTTTCATTTCATAATATTATTTGTTATATAGTTGGCAGCAGTATTTGCTGAGGAAAAGGAATGGTTCAGAGATGGCAATTGTGTTCTTTTATTTTGAAAATTTGGCCAACTAGGAATACCTTTAATGTCTTCTGATTTTGTTCTTAAAATTCAGCCAAAAGCTTAATCTATAAATGTATCTTCTATAGGAGAAAATATGGAGAAGGCTTCTGCAACCAAGGAAGAAGTCAAAGAAGTCAGTATTGAAGATACAGGTGTTGATGTAGATCCAGAAAAACTGGAAATGGAGAGTAAACATCATAGAAATTTGCTATTTCAAGATTGTGAAAAAGAGCAAGAGAACAAAACAAAGGATCCAACCCATGATGTTAAAACCCCCAATACAGAAACGAGGACAAGTTGCTTGATTAAATATAACGTGTCTAGTACGCCATACTTGCAAAGGTAAACTTTTAAAATGTACTATGATTTGTTTTCATGCTTGGGGATAATAAATATGGCATTTAAAAATCTTTGAGATAGCTTCAGATTACAGCTACCGTGTGTTAATATAGAAAAGTTTTCAGGCCAGGCATGGTATCTCACGCCTGTAATTTCAGCACTTTGAAAGGAGGCCGAGGCAGACAGATCACTTGAGCCCAGGAGTTCAAGACTATCCTGGGCAACATGGCAAATCCCCATCTCTACAAAAAAATACAAAAAAATTGGCTGGGCAAGGGGGTGTGTGCCTGTAGGCCCAGCTATCTGGGAGGCTGAGGTGGGAGGATCACTTCATCTCAGGAGGCAGAGGTTGCAGTTAGCCAGGATCATGCCACTGCACTCCAGCCTGGATGACAGAGCAAGACCCTGTCTCAGAACAAAAAAGAAAACAGAAAAGTTTTTAAACAACTAGAATGTCATGAGAACATTTCACCTCTTAAATACTGTATTTACTTTCACTAACTATTGCCATGTTGAAAAAGAAAACTTTTTTTTAATTTTACTTGAATCTGTGTGTTATTAATAAGAGTAGGTTTTGGCATTCAGGAATTAGCCAGTTCTACAGATACTCAGGTATCTACTGTGTACAGGTTGTAATGACGGATTGAGAAAAGGGTAAGTTTCTCACTTCAATGAGCTTATAGTACCTCTCTAAAAGACAATTACATGCTTTTACGTGGTTATAACATACAAGCTATATAGTTGAAGCTACATATCATGAAAGTACAGAGTAAAAATGTTAACATGTTTTTGAACTCTGGGAATATTGTTTTAATTTTCAGTGTGAAAAAGAAGGTGCAGTTTGATGAAACAAATTCCGCATTTAAAGAGCTGAAGTTTTTAACACCAGTGAGACGTTCTCGACGTCTTCAAGAGAAAACTTCTAAATTGCCAGATATGTTAAAAGATCATTATCCTTGTGTGTCTTCATTGGAACAACTAACGGAGTTGGGAAGAGAAACCGATGCTTTTGTATGCCGCCCTAATGCAGCATTGTGCCGGGTGTACTATGAGGCTGAAATACCATAAGAGAAATAAAGCTCTTATAGGGAAGGGGGTTTTTATTATGTGTGGGGTATTTTGTTTTGAGTAGCTTTATATTGCCCTTAGGTCTGGAGTTGGCCATGTACCTATGTATCCTAAGTATTCACGGCAGTGAGCTCCTTTATTAACATTCATGTTATGGCAAGAGTTGTCCTGCTGTGCATTGGAAAGCTAATCCCACCTTGTCAATCTCAACCGACCGTTTTTTTTTCTTTAAGATAGGTAAATTTTGTCAGCTAGTTTACTATGTTCCTTGAATATAAACAGGTTATAATACTACCCTGTTCACTTTACTAAATATAAGTACAGTAATGATGCATCATTAGCATAAGAGGTCTCTCTAGGTTAAAAATGTGTACTGATTTGCTTGACATGTTTTTAAAAAGTGATGATGTACCTCTGCCTTTAACAGAATGCTTTTTTTTTTTTTTTTTTTTTTTTTGGGTCGCTTCTTGGATTAATCAAAAATTGTATATTCTTACATTGACTCTTGGAGTACTAAGACACAGGAGGTTTAGCTTGCTTTCTTACCAAATTCATGTTACCCAGACTTGTGTTCTTTTATGTCCCTTGGACTGTCTGTTGATTGATGAAAAGTGTACTGTCACTTTTTGTCAGTAGTAGTCTGTGGTCTCGTGGCCTCTTTAGATTATAATTGGGGTCACCAAGAAGGATACTTAATTAAATATCCCGTTTCTAAGAGAAGATACTTTGTGTGAGAAAGGAAAGATGCCAGATTTAGTGGTTTAACTTCTGTAACTTCACTTGATAGATTTTAAACAATTAGAATGGAGTTAGGGAAAGAATATATCATACTGAATAAATGTCATTCTAGTTTAGACAGCATTTCTAAAATACCTGATACTAATACTTGTTTTGTTCCCTGTAACATAAAAACTTCACTGTTAAGTCATGTCCCCTGAAACATGGTAGTTACCTACACAGTTTTCTCTCCACACATAAATAACACTACTAAAGTTGTTTTGTAAGGTTCCAAACTGATAATTATATGGCACATATCTGTCAACTCTGCAGTTTCAAATAAATGACTTTTTAATTGTAAAAGATTAGTTTAAAAACTGTATGAATGTGGTTGAAGATCACATGCTTAGTCGTTTTTATGTTCATTCCATTTGTATATCTCTTTTTCTATTTATTGACTTCTCATGTTCTAGAGAGTAGGACTTTTATTCTGTGTACCTTATATATACAATTAAAATATCTGTATAATGATGTTTCAATGAAGTTTATTTCAACAATTATTGTATGAAATGCAGTTTAACCACAGTGAATGAATTTTAGCTTTCCTTTTGAAATATGAAATACATTGTAAGATTCGACTTGAGGTTTTTGACACTGAAGTACATGCTTAATGGTATATTTTCAAAAATCATCAGTCTACTTATATAAACTTTACCTAATTTTTTTCACTTTAACAAAAACATAACTATGCCTTTTTTCATACTTTGACCCAAAATAATGCCATTTTGAAATAAAGTTCAAGCTTTGATACACTCTCAGCTTTTTAATATCCATACAATACAATTCATTTGTCTGTATAGCATAGCTTGAAATGCCTTTGTAAAGAGAACTCAAGATAGAACTTTTACCTGAGGGGAGAATCTCTCTAAATAGTCCTAGTTCTAACATTCAACCAGAGGTCTTACTCCTTTTCTGATGCTTAAGGACAGCTATGTTATCTCTCCCCTAGGTTTGTTCCAAGCTAAATGATGTGATACCGTGCATAAGCATCCAGTAGAGACAGAACAGGGACCCCTCTTAAGGGCCTGCTTGGATCTTCCCATGCATAGTAATAAAGGAAAAATCTTGAGTCTCTTCAAGGGAAATTCCATGTACCTAGCTAGCCTCAAAACAGTAAATTGAGCACCCTGGAATAAAGAAAAAATGTTTGATTCCCTATAGAAATGAAAGATAACATCTTGACATGTTGAATGTTTTAGAAACACCGATCCATACCAGATGAAAATGCCAACCACTGTAACGGGGACCTCAGATAAGGGGAAACAGGACTGACTCTAACCACAATTCTTCTAAATTTCTTCCTGAGGGGCCTAGAGAGAATCATGCCCACAGGCCAAATCTAAACATGCCTTTCTGCTGACCCCAGGTTTTTATACAAAGCCCTACTTTATCCATTGCAAAGCTCTGAATCTACCTGTGACCTGTAAGCCCCTGCTTCCAGGTAACCACCTTTTTGGGCCAAACCAATTATAACCTCCATGTATTGATTTATGATTTTGTCTGTAACTTCCACTTTCCTAAAGGGTACCCCTGCCATTAAAAACCCTGTCTTCCAGCTGGGCGCAGTGGCTCACGCCTGGAATCCCAACACTTGGGGAGGCCGAGGCGGGTGGGCTGAGGCAGGAGAGCCTCTTGAGTAGCTGAGATTACAGGTGCCCACCACCATGCCCAGCTAATTTTTGTATTTTTAGTAGAGGTGGGATTTCACCATGTTGGCCAGGCTGGTTTTGAACTCCTGACCTCAGGTGATCCGCCCACCTTGGCCTCCCAAAGTGCTGGGACTACAGACCTGAGCCATCGCGCCCGGCCTAAAAAAAAAATTTTTTGGGGGGGGGGATACCAAGTTTCTTTATTTGAAGGAATGGTACAAATCAAAGAACTTAAGTGGACGTTTTGGTACAACTTATAGAAAAGGTAAAGGATACCCCAACATGCATGCACTGCCTTAGTGACCAGGGAAGTCACCCCATGGCTATGGGGAAATTAGCCTGAGGCTTAGCTTTCATTATCACTGTCTCCCAGGGTGTGCTTGTCAAAGAGATACTCTGCCAAGCCTGATTCGGGTGCTCCTATCTTGCGCGAGTTGGTCACGTGGTCACCTAATTCTTTGATGGCTTTCACCTGCTCATTCAGGTAATGTGTCTCAATGAAGTCACACAAATGAGGGTCATTTTTATCAGTGGCCAGTTTGTGCAGTTCCAGTAGTGACTGATTCACATTTTTTTTCCAAATGTAATGCACACTCCATCGCATTCAGCCCGCTCTCCCACCCCAGTCCTCACAGTCTGGTTTCTTGATATCCTGAAGGAAGATTCGGCCACCTGGTTGTTCTGCAGCTTCATCAGTTTCTCGGCATGTTCCCTCTCCTCATGAGATTGGTGAAGAAAGTATTTGGCAAAATTCTTCAAGGCCACATCATCGCGGTCGAAGTAGCAAGACATGGACAGGTAAGCGTTGGAGGCGCAGAGCTCCAGGCTGATCTGGCGGTTGATGGCGGCCTCTGAGTCCTGGTGTTAGTTCCGGCGCACCTGCGAGGTGGACGCGGTCGGCCTGGCGGAGGCTAAGGCCAGGCGGTGGCGGCGGCGGCGGCGGCGGCGGCGGCTGCACGGCGCAGGAGCGGCGGCGGGGGCCTTGGGGCGGTCCAAGGGCGCGGTGAAGAGGTGACGGATGCCTGGCTATGGGCGGCCGGCCGGGATGGGGGACGAGGGCTGGGTGCCGTCCGAGCACTGTTGAAGCAGGAAACCCCGAAGACTCTCGGGGAAGAACGTCTGGCCTAAAACATTTTTAAACAAGCAAGAAAGGATTCAGTTTACCACTCATAAATTTATCTGAAACTAATCCTGAAGGTTTTATTCCAGTGGGAAAAACAAAAAATCTAGCCAGGCATGGTGGCACATACCTATAGCTCCAACTACTCAGTAGGGTGAGGCAGGAGAGTCACTTGAGCCCAGGAGTTCAAGGCTAGCGTACACTGTGATCATGCCTATACTATACTCCTATACTCCATACTCCTATACTGCAGCCTGGCAACATAGCAAAACCCTGTCTCTGAAAGAAAAAAAAAGTAAGTCTGAGATGTTAAGAAAAGGGTTAGCCACGGGAGGAGGATTTGCTCCTGGTGTTACTGGATCTCCAACCTCCCCCACGCCATTTTTTCCCTTCCTTGGAGATCTAGATGGTTCATGCCCACAGCTGCCCTGCCCTGCTGATGGTTCTCTGGTCATTCCAACTGCGGCAGTCTCTCCCTGCCTGCCTCTTCTCAGGATGCCACCTCTGCTGCCAGTGTGGGTGGGTGGACGTGGTGCCCCCCCATCCTGCTGCTACTGCTGCTGCCAGTTTTTCCCTCAACTGCTGCCAAAACACATCGTGTGTCTTTTTATTACTATAAATTAATTGATAAAAGTTCAAATGTATGAACTTAAAAGTTAGCTCACGATGATACAATTACAAGTAATTAAAATTTTACTTTTTGTGAGTTTTATACCATAGAACCACTTTAAAAATAATTTTTCCTTAATAATAAAGTAATATATGCTCATTATAGAACATTTGAAAACAAAATTGCTCCATTCCTGTTCATCAGCTTGGGGTACAAAAGGAAATCTCATTTGGTCAATATTAAATTAGATGGTTATATAGCCGGGGCACGGTGGTTGATGCCTATAATCCCAGCAGGATGGGAGGCCAAGGTGGGTGGATCACCTGAGGTCAGGAGTTCAAGACCAGCCTGGCCAACATGGTGAAACCTCCGCCTCTACTAAAAATACATAAATTAGTTGGGTGTGGCGGCAGGTGACTGCAATCACAGCTACTCAAGAGGCTGAGGCAGGAGAATGGCGTGAACCCGGGAGGCGGAATTTGCAGTGAACTGCGATCGCACCACTGCACTCCAGCCTGGGTGACAGAACGAGACTCCGTCTCAAAAACAAAAACAAACAAAAAGAAATTATAATAAAAATTGAATAGAAACAATTTAAGGTAGTTCAATTTACTGTACATGTGTTGTTGAACAATTTGAAGATTTCTTTCAGATACCCATGACACTTCAGAGTGTAACTTCTAAAAATAAGCTTGTGCTTCCCTACAAAACCCAAAATATAATTATTATACCTAAGAAAGCAATTCCCTAAAAAAAACTAATATCCAGTCTATGTTCAGATTTCCCCAAGTGCCCACAAAATGTTTTTTATAGCCCTTCTTTTTCTGATTCAGAATCCAGTCAAGATTCATGCATTGTACTTGATTATGGCTTCTTTCATTCTACATTAACCCCACATACCCTTTTGTTAAAAATGACATTGACTTTTTAAATTGATGGGGCCGGTTCTCTTGTAGAATGTAGATTGCCCTTTATTTTTTTTCTGGACTGTCTTTTCAAGGATGTTTAGATAAAACAGCCTTAGAAGGTGAAGACATCTCCCTCTGGAGCAAAGTAATTTAAAATCTTTTTATTGTAAAGAGCACATAAAATTTACCATTGTTAATTGTAGAGTTCAGTAGTGTTAAGTATATGCACATTGTTGTGGAACCAATCTTTGAAACGTTTTCATCTTGCAAAACTGAAACTCTGTACCCATTAACCAACACCTCCCCATTTCCCTCTCCCTCCAGCTCCTGGCAACCACTATTCTGGCTTTCTGTTTCTAGGAATTTGAGCACTTTAGGGAACCTCACATGAGAGAAATCACACAGTATTTGTCTTTTTGTGACTGGTTTATTTCACTTAGCATGATGTCCTCAAGGTTCATTCATGTTGTACCATGTGTCAGTATGTCCTTTGTAAGGATGAATAATGTTCCATTGTATATTTACAACATACATATTGTATGTTGCAAACATGCCACATTTTTCTTATCCATTCATTCATCATTAAACATTGGTAATGCTTCCATCTCTTGGCTATTGTGAATAATCCTGTTATGAACATGGCTGTACAAATATTTCTTTGAGATCCTGCTATCAATTCTTTTGGCTATATGCCCAGAAGTGGAATTGCTGGATCATATGGTTATTTCTATTCTTAGTTTTTTTGAGGCACCACCATGCTGTTTTTCATAGCATGACACCATGGTACATTCCCACCAACAGTGTACAAGACTGTGTACTCTGTCGCCCAGGCTGGAGTGCAGTGGCGTGATCTTGGCCCACTGCAACCTCCACCTCCTGGGTTCAAGTGATTCTCCTGATTCAACCTCCCGAGTAGCTGGGACTACAGGCATGTGCTACCACGCCCGGCTACTTTTTTGTATTTTTAATAGAGACGGGGTTTCACCATGTTAGCCAGGATTGACTTGATCTCCTGACGTGATCCACCCTCCTCGGCCTCCCAAAATGCTGGGATTACAGGCGTGAGCCACCGCACCCAGCCTAACTTGTATTTTTAGTAGAGACAGGATTTCACCATGTTGACTAGGCTGGTCTTGAACTCCGACCTCAGGTGATACACCCGCCTCAACCTTCTGAAGTGCTGGGATTACAGGTGTGAGCCACCGCGCCCAGCCTCATTGTGTTTTTGGTTTGTATTTCCCTAATCATTAGTGAAGTGCTTGTGGGCATGTGTATATCTTCTTTGGGGCAATGTCTTTTTAGATCTTTTGCTCATTAAAAAAAAATTGAGTTGTTTTTAATTGAGCTGTAGGAGTTCATTGTATGTTTGTATATTAACCCCTTGTCAGATGTTTGATTTACAGATATTTTTTCTCATTCTGTGCATTGCCTTTTAACTCTGTTGATTGTGTTTTTTCATGCACAGATCAAGTCAGATTTTAACTTTATATATTAGCTTCTATAATTTGATATTTGAACACTTTTTCTCACACTGATCACCTTGGTTTCTAATAATATCAAAATATTTGCTTTCTCCTAAAAATACACAAAATAGTCACAAAATCAAAGTGCTATATTTACTACTAAAAATAAGATACAGTATGAAGTTCTATATGTCTTTGAAATTCTTTTTGTCCTTAGAATATACAGTGGTAAGATGTATATCTTATACAGTATTCAATTCATTCAAAATTTGTCTCTGTGTGGCTATATTACCATTCAATACAGAGTTTGGGTAATTCATTTCAGTCTGTTTTTATTTTAGTGTTTGCTTGGTTTTTCTTTCTTTTCTTTTCTTTTGACATGGAGTCTCGCACTGTACCGGGCTGGAGTTGCAATGGCATTATATTCGCTCACTTCACCTCTGCCTCCCAGGTTCAGAGTTCTCCTGCCCAGTTCTCCCAGTACTAGGATTACAGGCATGTGCCCCACTGCCCAGCTAATTTTTTGTATTTTTAGTAGAGATGGGGTTCACTATGTTGGCCAGGTTGATTCTCGAACTCCTGACCTTGTGATCACCCTGCTTCAGCCTACCAAAGTGCTGGGGATTACAGGCGTGAGCACACCATGCCCGGATTGGTTTTCTTTAAATTAAATGTAAATAGTTACATGGATTAAAAAGAAAATGTCGGCCGGGCACGGTGGGCTCAAGCCTGTAATCCCAGCACTTTGGGGAGGCCGGAAGGGCGGATCACAAGGCAGGAGATCGGAGACCATCCTGGCTACACGGTGAAATCCCATCTCTACTAAAAAAATACAAAAAAATAGCCGGGCAA